TTGCAATGAGTTTGATATACGGCTTCCAAAAAAGTTTAGAGTAAGAGTTAAAAAGAGTTAATAATTGAGACAAAAGGTAGATGACTCATTAAGTACATTACCGTTCATTAACATAGGAAGATCTAAATTATTGCAATAATGATTAGTTCAAAAAATTGAGTTTTATCTGAGTTTAAGTTCACCAGCCACTGAGAACCCCATGCTGTAGCAGAAGGCAGATTCCTTTTTTTAAATGCCCCCCCCCCAAGCAATCAGAGAGTGTTGGCTTCTTATCAAGACAAGAATAAATAGGACTGTCATCAGCGAACAATGCCACCTTAGATGTGAGAATTTCTGGGAGCAGGAGTGTGGTGGCTGTAAAAAGCCTATGTGGGATTTTATTAAAAAAGCCAATATTTGCGAGATTTTACCATATATGTTTGATGTAAAGGCCCATACTTGTCCGGTAATAAGCGACATCTGTCTGTCATTTTGTCCGACCCATATTTTGTATGCAATTATTTTATAATTATTTTAGTTGTTTCAAAATTTCTTAATAAATTTCAGTAGTGTCTAAACTATATTTTTTGAACTTTTTTTTTTTTATACTTAACAGAAAATGAAGCTACATTAATAAAATATGTCATTTTTTTTGTGCTAATTCATTTTTTAAAAGATGCCTAAGCCTTAAATTTTTGAATTAAACACCCCGGTTTTTATCACTTATATAAAAACGCTGCAATTAATTATTAGTTTAAATTTATATTTTAATATTTTTTTTTTTTTTTTGTCTGATTGTTTTTAAAAATTTCGAGCAAATGTTTTATCTTTTAAAACCCCTTTTAAAAATAAATATTTTAAATATAAATAGATTTTTTTCAGAATGTCAAAAAAGTCAATGTTGGTAAAAAGCCCATACTTAATTTAAAAAAATGCTAAAAGACTCATATTTAAATTAAAAAGTTAAAATCTTATGGGGTAATCCTGCATGGCCTCTGGGGCCACCGCGCCCTGGGACGATCTTTAA